CACCACGTTGAACCCGACGAGGTACACCAACCACTCTAATCGTGCGTGTGTCGTGTGTGCCATGTGTGTCGTGTGTCGTGTATGTGCGTGTGTGTCGTGTGTGTCGCTGACGTCAAATCCCAGGATGGCTTTTATTTTGTGGATCGCGACGGCACCCACTTCATCCACATCCTCAACTTCCTGCGGGACGGAACGCTCAACATCCCCGACGATCGCTTCCTCCACAACTGGCTCATCAACGAGGCCAACTTCTACTCTCTGCCCGACCTTGACAAGCTCTGCCGCAAGGCCCTCAAGCACAAGGAGAAGCGAGAGCCCGTCGTCAGCGCCGCCAAAGAGTCGCCAAAGGCGGCCCAGAGCTGAATTCTTCGAATTCCACACGAACGTCACAAAGAAAACGTAAATAGCAGAAAAGAAAACCTGGATCGATGGTTGATCGTTGTTCAACGTTCTCCTGGTCTTGAAGAGAAGGCCACGGTTCGGGTGGCTCGTTAATCCGCACAACAATGTTCTTTCACGTAATGCGATCTCTGCCCTCGAGCATGATGGAACATCAATTCCCTTGCGATGGAGCGAGGATTAATTTAATTGGGGGGGGGGATTACAGATTTTGTTGAACCGCAATCTGCAGCTGCACCCGCGTCACTTCGGTGCCAACTTGCGCAACACCATCATCCAGAAACTACACACCGAAGTCGAGGGCACCTGCTCCGGGCGCTATGGCTTCATCATCATGGTGCTCTTTCTCTTTCTACTTCCCCTTGCACCACATACCACTGAACGGGTCTTATCATGGCCTTCTTCTACTTCTACTTCTTCTTGTAGGTGACTTCGATAGCGACGGTGGGCCTGGGAAAGATCAACGACGGCACAGGGATGGTGACTTTCCCGGTGGCCTACAGGGCCATCGTGTTCCGCCCCTTCAAGGGCGAAGTCGTCGACGCCGTCGTCACCCAGGTCAACAAGATGGGCTTCATGGCCGAGGTCGGCCCGTTGCAGGTCTTCGTCTCCAAGCACGTACGTGGACTATTGCTGCTCTCCTTCTCCTCTCCTTCTCCTCCTTCTTCTTCACCATCATCTCTGCGCAAGGCGAGCGAGTGCTGACTTCCCGGGCGCCAGTTGATCCCAACGGACATGACGTTCGACCCAACAGAACACTGCTTCGCGTCAGAGGACGAGTCCGTCAAGATCTCGAAGGACGACGAGGTAACCTCGCTCGTCTAATCACGCACACGCACACGCACACGCACACGCACACGCACACGGTCGCCTCTGATCCTCTTTCTCATTTGGTACTGTCTTCTTTAGGTTCGCTTGAAGATCGTGGGTACTCGAGTCGATGCATCGGAAATTGTACGCCTCTTCCTCCTGCCATCTTCACCTTCTCCATCTTCTTCTTTTCTGTTTCTTGCCAACCTTTCATTCATTTAACTCATCTCTGGTTTCGTGGTAACCGCGACAGTTCGCTATTGGGTCAATCAAGGAGGACTACCTGGGTCTCATCAGCTGAGCTGCACGAGCTTCTGGTTGTATCACCTTTTGCAGTATAATCCCATCTTGGACATGAGTGTTAAAAAAAACAGAGGCAGGACAAATTGAGGGCAGCAAGAGAGCTATGCTCTGCGTGTGCATGGGCTGTGTTATGGTGACACATGACCACTCCACCATTCTTTCACTATGCCCCTTGTTGTGGAGCACAGTCTCAATTGAGAGATCCCTGTATATAGGGAGGCAGTGCATGTGTGGGCTTCATGGATTGTGGAGGTGTTGTTTGGGGACAGTTTACCAAGGGGAAGATCACATGTCATGAAGACCACATTGCCTGAGCTGCCCCAAACAATGGAGCAGAAGTCACTGTGGTAAAGAACACTGAGGAATGACATGTAAAGTGGTGGCAGGGAGGGCCACTTCTGCTCCCTTGAAAACTCCAGGGCCTGGGTCCCAAAAGCAGCCAGTGGGCACAGGCTGGACCTAGCGCCACACAGAGGGGTTGAATTCAAAGACTGATCTCCTTTCCTTGGTTCTGTGTTGGCTTTGGCCTCCTTGACAAGCTCCAGCTTCTTGGCCTTGGACTTGTCAGTGGCTGCCTGGTGCTTATGCAGGGCAGTTGACTTTGTTCATGGAATCTTTGGCTCACTGATCTAAATCAATATCAGTGATGGCCAGGGAGGAGACCTCAATGCCAAACTGGAGGCCCATCTGCATCACACACTGCATGGTGTCCTCTTGGATCTGCTCCCCAGCCTCAAAGGTCTCCTTGACTCCAATGCAGGGCTGGTTGATGAACCAAATCATTGTTGCTGTTGAGGGTATCATTTGTGGCAGTGTGATCGTGGGCGGGCTGCAGTGCCCTCTGGACTCAATGCTAGAGAATGTGAGTGCGCCAGTAAGCTACTTGCACAACAAACATTTGGATGCACAGTTTGTTTAATTACTCTACTTGCACTCAAAATAGTTCTCCTGCAAGGCGTCATGCAGCCGGGCAAAGACTCCACTATGCCACGTCCTGAAGTCCTTCCACTCCTCCTCGGGCATGGTGGCGGAGAGCATGTTCAGCCACCCGCCCACGATCAGGTCGGCATAAGTAGCCTGTTTCCCCTCGAGGTACGGTCCGGTTTCGTGGATCATAAACAGCTGGGCCAGTGACGTCAGCGCCACCTTGAACGCCGCCTTGAGCTGCTCTCTTGCCTCCCCCTGAACGCAGATGTCATCCCAGGAGCGCAGGTGTGCGCGCTTGACGAAGAGGGCCCTTACGGCCTCGGCCGTGTTCGGGTTGAAGGGGAGGTACTGGGCGACGAGCACCACATGGGCGGAGAAGGTGGCGTCGACGTGCGTGTTGAACCTTGCGTAGGCCTCGTTTTTGGACCCCAGGTTGGAAGTCAGGGGCGCGAAGAATGCCGTGTCCTTGTTCGGGCTCTCGTAGTCGAGTCCGGTGCGGGTGGAGTCCGGAGGGAAAAGGCAGCCGCCTGAGTCCGGGAACATGTCCTCGAGATAGTTGGCGATGTCGAACGAGTCGCCAACGACCCTGCCCGAGGCCGGGTCCCGCAGCATGGGCAGCGTGTAGAAGTCGGAGCCATCGTCGAACTTACGGGTGGCCGGGCAGCTGAGCCCCTTGCGAACGTCAGAGATGTCGAGGATGTCGACCCAGGTCGTCTTGAAGGGTACACCTTTGAAGCTGAGCGCGAGACGGGCCTTGGAAGGATTGGGCGCGTAGGAGCGGGGTTCTATGGGTGAAGAGATGTCGTAGAAGATGAGGGGGAGAGAGTCTGTCATTTGTGAAGGAGGGGGTAGGAGGGGCAAGGTGTTGGAGCGGGGACCGGGGGCGGGACAAGAAGAACTGCGCAAGCGTTAGCTGTTGGTTGCGCTGTCTTCTTCCTCCGGGATTTCGTCCTCCGGAGATTCGGAGTGTTGTTATTTTTTATTTTTTATTTTATTGTTTTTTTACAGCCTCGGCCCTGCGTAGAGAGACCACGGAGTCTCCCTCTACGTAGAGGGCACGAGCGAGCTGAAGAACAGCTGGCGGAGGAAGCTCGAGAGCGCGGCGACGAGGCCGGCGACGGCGAGGGCTGGGTGGAGCGTCTCCGGCACCGGTAGGCTGTTCACCGGTGCCTTGGCCCCGGTTGATACCACATCGCCCAGCCGCCGCGCCCCGGCCCCCGCCGTGGCCAGCAGCACCAGCTGGCGCAGGTAATGCACCGTGCCGCCGTCGCCGCCACTGCATCCGGCCACCAGCAGCGCCGCCTCGGCCGCCAGACGCTGGGCTGCCGCAAACGCGCCGCCGTTCCACTCGTCATCGGAGCCCGCGAGTGTGGCGGCCTCGAGTGCGGCGAGGTGGTCGAGCGTGGCGCGGACGTGGGGCAGCAGCTCGGCGTGTTCGGGCGAGAGGGAGGGCGCCTCGGCCACGAGCTGGGTCTCGAGCGCGGCGAGCTGGTCGTGTGACGCGCGCAGCAGCCGCACCTGGTCGTCGCGCGCGAGCGGCGGCGAGCGGGGCTGGGCGGGCGCCTCCTTGAGCAGGCGCGTCAACGCGCGGAACTCGTTGGCCACCAGCCGCGCCGCGTCCTTCAGCGCCGGGTCGTTGCGCAGGTCTGTTACGAGCGATGAGTGCGACGACACACACGTGTGTGTGTCATGTTGTGTGTGTGTGTGTGTGTGTGTATCGTGTGTGTGTCGTGTGTGTGTCGCGTGTGTGTGTGTGTCGTGTGGCTTACCTGCGACGTTGGTGGCGCCAAGGAGGGGCACGGCGAGGCTGGAGAGCTGGCTCAGGTGCTTCTCCACGTCCTCGCCGGACTGGAGGAGCTGCTGCGCGGCCGGCCCGTTCACCAGGTTGGCCGCCACCGCCGCCGTCCCATACCGTAGCTGGCCACCCACGCAAGCGTGTAAGTCGCGCGTGCGGTCGACCCGCACGCACACGCACACACGAGAGCGCACGTACTTGCTCTGCGGCGGTGAGGGCGGCGAAGGCGGTGGCGTGGACGTCGTCGCTGGCGGTGCCGGTGGAGATGTGGATGAGGCGGCCGGTGTGCTGCGCGCACTGCTGCAGGAGCGTCTCGGCGGTCGGCGGGGCGCAGGCGAGCGTGTCCACCTCCGCCGCGGCCACCGTGAGCGAGTGCGCCGCCCCGATCAGTTCGCGGGTTGCGGCCAGCAGCCCAATCCTTGCCGCACGATCGTCTGCATTGTGCCACAACACCGCACACGCACCATCGCACGCACGCACACGACACGCGCCGTGAGCGAGGGGTCGCCGTTGAGCAGAGCGAGCGAGCGAGGGAGCGACGTGCCAGGCGCCTCGTTGACGCTCTTGGCGGCGGTGAGGAGGTTCTTGGCAGCGGGACGGAGGTGGCGCGCGGCGGCGGCCATGGGCGCCTTGGTGCCGGGGTAGGTCGTCCCGTGGGCCGGCATCTGGTCAAACGCCTCCTTGATCGCGGCCGCCACCACCTTCAGCTCCCTGTTCAACGCCTGAGCCCAACACACGCCGCGTCAATCCCAACCCACAAACGCGTGCGTGTCGTGTGCGTGTGTGTCGCGCGTGTGTGTCATGTTGTGTACCATGACTTGGTCGTCGGTGGCGACGTCGGCGTGGACGATGGGCGCGATGCAGTTGAGGAACGCGGTCACGCTCGACACGAGCGGGCCGGTCACAGCGCCGGGTCCCTCCCTCTCGGCCTCCAGCACCTCGTCCGACCGGCAGAACGCCACCGGCTCTGCGGCTTCGCTTTCTGGAGCCGCCGCCGTGGTGCTGCTGGTGGTGCTGCTCGTGGGCAGGCTCTCGGTCGCCTCAATGATGCTGCTGATCGTTTGCGAGCTCGACAGAGACGATGTTAATATGCGGCTGCCCATTCGGATAGGGGCCGAGGCCTTGCCCTCATCAGAGGGCGTGCGTGGGATGGCAGCGCTCGGCCGAGTCTCCTACAACCCAACGACGCACGAAACACAACGTTTTTAACTACGAACCGCACACCACCACAGTAAGTAGGCTTGTGGGGGAGGGGTACGGCTTGCGTGATGGAGGCGAGGGTCTGCGCGGGTGACGGCGAAGGTGAGGCGGTGGTCGCAGGCGCGGGGGTCGAGGCGGAGGCGGCGGCGGTGACGACTGCGGCGGGAGGGGAGCTGAGGAAGGAGGGCGGGGCGTGGAAGAAGGCCGGGTACTGCTTGATGAGGAGGGTGAGCGCGATGCTGCTGGGCTGCATGGCCTTCATCATCTCCTGCGGATCCGTCGTCTCGCAGAAGAACAGGTTCGGACCCAGCACCGTCGACAGATTCGACGCCGACATGCGGTTCTCCTGACCCACGGTCGGTTCGTCAGCCACACGAGTGCGCGTGCAGTGCGTGTCGTGCGGTGTGTGCGGTGAGGCGCGTGTTGTGTTGTGTACCTCTTGTCGCTTGGTGATCTCGGCGCAGAGATAGAGAATGGCGTGGAGGGCGGTCTTGTTGATCTCCGGCAGCGATTCGACGGCGGCCTGGAGGACCCGCACCTGCTCGTCCTCGGGCGTGGTCTCGAGGTTGAGCGCGAGATACCGGGCCAGGGCCGCCACCGGGAAGATCGATTCGGGCAACGACCGGAGCCACATCTTCAGCAGCGCCGCCACCACGTGCGGGTCGCTCACCTTCGAGTAGTCCACCTCCTTGCCTGAACCATCACCACAACCAGTGAGCCCGTGTCGTGTGTGCCGTGCGTGTTGTGTGTCGTGTCGTGTGTCGTGTGTGTCGTGCCTGAGTCGACTTCGTTCTGGACTTCCTGCACGGAGGCGATGTTGCCCGAAATGCGGAAGACGCCCTCCAAGCGGATGACTGCGCCCGCGCCGCCCGATCGGAGTTAAAAAACAGAGGCTAAGAACAGCGCGACCGACGAGTGATCAGTGATCGGGTGCGCACCTTCGGGGCGCAGGATGAATTCGATGGCGCTCTGTACCGCGCGCGGCAGCTTGCCGCCCTCCCGCGCCATCACGTCGGCCAGCGGCATCCCAAAGAGCCGCTTCTGCTCAAATCGTGCACAAATTCTCAGGCTGATGGTGGGCCGGGGAGGGGAGGGGCGGTGAGTGTGTAAGTACGGTGGGGTCGATGGCGGCCTTGGGCGTCGAAGGCGGGACGAAGCCGCGGCTGCGCGCGCGGAGGTCCTCGTATTCGGTCTTGGACTGGTCGGCGCACTGCTGGTGGCGGGACATGTGGGGCTTCAGGTCGCGCACGAGATTGGCCCCGCGCGTGAAGAAGTCCTCGTAGGCCACGAACATGAAGTAGAACTGTTCACGCGAACCACACACACACACACACACAACGATTGATATGCGGTGGCGACGACCGCGATGGAGACAGAGATAAAAGAACGAAGGAAGGAAAGAACGAAAAAAAGAGTGGTACCCGCTCAAAGAGGAACATTTCGGTCTTCTTGTTGATGACCTCCAAGACGGCGGTGACCTCTTCGGTGACCTTCTCCAGTTCCTTCTTAGCCTCGGCGACTTCCTTCTCCTCCTGCAGCGAATAACAAATAACAAAAAGAAGAATTAAGACAAGGGGCGCGAATGGGATGCTATTTGGGAAGTCCCCGGGTCTGGCACGCCAGACAAGCGAGAGCGCCAAAAAGAACGAAGTGGCACCTCGGCGAGGCTCTTCCCCGCCTTGAGCTTGTTCTCGGCGTTGCGATACCGGGTCATCGCCGCGTCGTACTGCCGCCGATACTTGTCGTACTTGGCCTTTTCGCTCTACGCACAGCGTGACAGACCAACGCCACCCCCCCCCAGATAACACAAAGACCGGTCAGTCGAGCCGAGCCGAGTGGCGCAGGGCACAGCCTGGCCAGGCGGAGGTGAGGTACCACTGATTCGGCCAGATCCGACTTGACCAGCACCTCGAGCTGCGCGCTCACGTCGGAGAGCAGCGTGCGACTCTGGATACAGTACGCCCGGAAGCTCAGGTTAGCGCGGTGCGTGTGTGTACATGTGTGTGCGCGCGTGTGCGCGTGCGCGTGTGTGTACATGTGTGTGCGTGTGTGCGTGTGTGCGTGTGCGTGTGCGTGTGCGTGTGCGTGTGTGCGTGTGAAGAGATGCAGTGCGGAGGCGTGGGTGTGAAATGCGCACGAGAGACTCCTTGAGCGTCTCGGTCATCGTTTGGAACTGCGACAGTCGCGCCATCATCGCCGCTGGATGGCTCAGGAGGTTAGCACATGTGCCCACTCGACGCCTCATCTGGTCACCACAGCCCCCACTAGTATTGGTAAACTAATTGAGAAGTGTGCACGCACCCAGTTCCTGGTTGTCGTAGGCCTGCTTCATGCGAGTCCCGAAATTGGCAAAGGCCGACGCCGTCACCTTGCCCTCCTCCACGCCATCTGCACGGGGGGTCCGATGGTGGATCACAAACGTGTCTGATTAGGCCACGTTTGAAGATGCAGCCAACAACAAGGAAGCACACTGCTTTGGCTTGTTTTGGGCCGCCGCACCTTGGTTGGCCTTGCACTGCTTCTCCAGTCTCTTGTAGCACTCCTTGAGAAAGACTCGGCTCTCCTCATTTTTCTGTTTTCAAACATCACCAGCCACCGCCAACAATCACAACATAAGTTAACGAGACAGGAGGCGCGGTCTCACGTGGTGGTGGTGGCGGCGACGCATGCGAGAGCGTAGTGCCGACGCGGGCGAACGTGAACGCGGCGACGTAGATGGGGTGCGCACCTCGGCGAGAAAGCGGACGGTGTTGGACTCGCTGACGACCTCCACCCGTCCCATCTATCAATAGATAGTGTAGGTGTGGGGCGGAGAAAGCGACAAGGTGAGATTTGGATCAGCGACGGAACGCACACGTGTGTTGGCAGGTTGGGGCGCACCTTCTCGAGGCCCCACTAGAGTAGTAGACGCCACGCAGATGGATTGAAAGAGCGAAAGATGTGTATAAGTGGTGCATCATAGTTATTGGGAGGAAGATGGAGTGGCAAGATGTACTTGTTTGGCAATCCTTAGATTCTTCATGGCCGCCCACACGAGTCACACGAGCCGGCTTCTTCTTGGTGCTCGTGTCCTGGTTGCTCCCACAATTATAAATTAATTACAATAAAAGAAAACAGAAAGACGAAAAAGAAACTCAAAAAAGAAATTTCCTCGTCCGACAGAAAAAAGCAAAATTACAAATCTTTCACAGGATTGGCGCAACCATGTGTCGACGTAATTGGTGATTGTGCCTCTTCATTGAATTTTCGATTGGCAAGGTTAGAAAACTCGTTTTGTCCACATAAAATGGGACATTTTTGAGATGGTTTGGGATCGCGACGGTTCCACACTGAGACACAAATCAGCGTCTGCTCTCTAATCGTTCAATAGTTGAGGTGAGAGAGCGGTACAGAAGGAGGCCCAGCACACCAAGAAGAGGAGAGCAGCATGCAGACAACAGTAACGAAGAGGGTTGCCCGCATCGAGGCCCACCTTACGCCCAAAATCGTGCGCGGACTGGAAGATGCGGCGGTCGAGATTGCGAGGTGCGCTGCTGCCCTCGACCTGCCCGACGTTTCGAACGGTCCTGCGGTGATGGCCAGCGAGCGGTCTCAGGCCAGCTTCAACGTGCGCGAGCTCACCCATCTCCTGGACGGCGGCGAACGCGGAACCCAGCGCAAACACGCCGCCTACGAGCTCGTACGCAACGAACCCGTCTTCATCGACCCGGGCTACTATGACCGCTCCCGCGACGAGGGTACTGCCCCTTTCCACCTTCTTGTCTACACCTCTTCCATCATCAACACACCG